CCCACTTCAGAAGCCAGTCACAGGCCCAGGTCGTATTGCCTGTGCTTCTGACCAACTGCCTAGATTCGAGGCTCCAAAGACCCACCCTCCTTGGGTTTAATTTCCTAGAGCAGCTCACACAAGTGGGGAAACACTTATGTTCAGTTACTAACAGACATGATAAAGGACACAGGTGAAAGTGCAGATGGAAGAGAAACATGGGGCAAGGAATGTGGGAAGGGGAACAGAGCTCCCATGCCATCTGGGCACACCACTCTCCCAGCACCTCTATATATATGTTCACCAACTTCCAAGTTCTTTGAACCTCAAAGTTTGGGGATCTTATGGAAGCTCCATCACAGAGGCATCACTGATTATTAGCTCCATTTTCAGGCCTTCTCCCTTCTCAAGGGAATAGGGGAGGGGAAGGAGGGGGGCTGAAAATCCTAGGCTTCTATTCATGGTCTTTCTGGTGACTAGCCCTCATCTAGGAGCCATCAAGGAGCCCACCCAGCCACATCATGAGAACCACAGACACATCTATCACTCACGAAACCACAAGGGTTTCAGGAGCTCTTTGCCAGGAACAGAGGTCAAAGACCAATAGGAAAACCAGAGGTATTCCTAGTGTTTTTATTATTTAGGAAATTACAAGGGTTTTAGGAGCTGTGTCAGGAACCGGGGACAGAGACCAATAAACATTTTCTGTTCTCTCACAAACATCTGTAGTTTAAATCTAACAAGCTTAATTCCTCTTATGAGTATTTAAGAGCTAAGAACATCTTTCATATTCCAGGGACCTTCTCCTGCAACCTCCCCCACCCCCCATCCCTCCCATGCACAGCACACACACTTCTCCAATCAGCCAGCCAGGCCTTTCCTCTATCCCCCATGGATATGGTTCTAAGTCTCTCTGAGTAGCTGCAGATCTGAGCGTCTTCCTTTCAGTATGGTCTCCAGATGGAAAAATATTCCAGGTATGAACCAGATAAGGACTTTCATTAACCATCTCTTCTGTTCTATATTCTACCACTTGAAACGCTGAAGCACAAAGAACATGGGCTTTGAAACACAGGGCGCAAATATTAATAGTGGTCATTAGCTGACATGTTAAACAAGTTACTAAATACCTCTGTGACTATTTTTTTAAAACTGATTTTGGAGAGAGGGAGAGGCAGTAATGTGAGAGACACATCAATCAACTGCCTCTCCTATGTGTCCTGACCAGGAATGGAACCTAGAATCTAGGTATGTGCCCTGACTGGGAATTAAACCCACCACATTTTGGTGCATGAGATGACGCTCCGAGTCACACCAACCAGGGCCCTTGGAGCCTATTTTTGTCATCTATAAAAAGAGTGTTTTATCTATTCTCCCACAGGTATGCTAAGGGAAAGTTTGTAAGTGCTAAATATAGGGGGGACTTCAGTAAGTGGTAACTAACAATAACAGTGTAAGTTAAGACCACTTCTTGATCATACTATTTGTTCTTACTCAACTGTTACTATGTATGGTCAGGGTTCAGTGAACAGAATCTACTCCGGCTAGTTTAGCAAAAATAATTTATAGCGTGACCCAGTGTGTACACACACACACACACACACACACACAAATATGTAATTCAAACAATCTGCTCAGTATTTACCCACCTGACAAGTGTTGTCCTCTGCTGTTTCTATTCCATTTTTTAAAATGCTAGTTATGACCCACAGTGTTCATTTCATGACTCACTAACGAACCGTGGCCCAGAGATGGAAACCACTACATTACAGGGTATTAAATGGCTTAGAGAATCACTGAGAGGGCAGAAGAAACAAACTAGTCTGTGGGTCTAGGACCTGGGCGGCCAAGAGAGCTGCCAGCTCCAGCACACCCTGCTGCGGGACCGACATGCACGAGCACAATGAGCTGTGAGTCCCACACTAGTGTACCTGACCGAGCCCTGGTGCAAAGGGGTCTCAGAAATACAGCACAGGGAAGCACACCTAGGAGGCTGCAGATGTTAATCAAACTAATCCACAGAAACAGCCCCCTATCTGCAGTAAAACGCTGCTTAAACATATTTAAACAAAAGTACCCAGTGGATGAAGCATGCAGCATTATATCTAACCCTGATTAAACTGCGTATTTTCTCAGACACAGCCTATCATTGCTACTGCAGCGAGGAAAACCCCACATACTAACGACAACTCGTACAATTTCCTTGATGGAGCAAAATTCAGAGGAACAAACCAATTGGAAATCTCAAGTTATATTTCCTTTCACAAACATATTCTACTCCGTCAACCTGTAGTCTAACAAAAGGAAATTAAACAAACAAAAACAAACTGAAGATTCTTTTCTTCCCCCCTCACAAAGAAACCTTAAGATTAAAAAGTTTATAGACTCTCTCTCTATATATATAATTTTTAGACCAGAAACAAGAACAAGGAACAACTTTAACTTTTTATTATCTTTTAGTCCAGTTTATACACTAATTTGTATGAGTGAAAGAATTCAAATTTATTGACTAAAAGGCTTTGCTTGTGATTTATAGAGCAAGCTGAAAAATAAGTTGAAGGAGCAGCATTTAGTGAATTAAGTTTAAGTAATACAGTTCTAGGGGGACTTGTGACTGATGTACATTTGACTGAAAAAAGCTCACTATACTAAGCTACCATGAAGACTTATACAACCATCAAATGCAAAAAAACACAAAAAAGTAAAGTTCTCCATGACCTCCACAGAGCACCAAATATCATAAGACAACCAAATATTTAAGAAGCTAAAGCTGGAAAGTTCACAGAAATGTAAAACACTAAACAAAAACTCTATTTTTCAGTAAAAAAATGTTTTCTCATTTTCTGTTCTTGGCATAAATTTTAATTCCTTCCAGTGGAACCAAAACCTCCTGAGCCCCTTTCAGTGTCATCCAAAACCTGGAAAGATAAAAGGCAGTGAGAGTGAATTTCAGATGTTCTCAGTTATCCCCAGCTCATTACTAAGTCTTTCATTCTTGCTATACCATCTTTTTAAAAAAGATTACAAAAAACTAAATTTTTAAAAAGCTCCATAAACTTAAATATTCAATAATTTTCAAAAAAGCTAAGCAAATAGAATTTCACAGTATAAATGATTTATTATCCAATGTAATGCTTTATGATAGCTATGAAAGTCATTTCAAGAAATTCTAAAACTAAGATTTTAATTTTGCTTAAAAATGGGACTAGTAACATATGCTATTTAGTTACAAATAGCATATTAAATCCTCACAATTTTAATTTTCCTTCACTGAAGACGTTACACCATTCCCTATTCAGTTTTTATGATACTTACTTGAACTTCCTCTATTTCTGGATAAAAAATCCGTTCACAAATGAGCTGTGCAATTCGGTCCCCTTTTTTTACTTCAAAGAGAAAAAAAACAACACAGTTTGGTACTGATCTTTTATTAACACATTCTCTATATCCTGCACTGTACAATGAGAATTAGGGTGTTATTTAGCCACGTGACTCAGGAAATTCCCTGTATCTATGTGACTGTGTATTTAACGTACCTTCAAACTTTTCTTTGCCAAAATTAAACAGCACAACACCAACATTTCCTCTATAATCTTCATCTATGACACCAGCTGGAGCAAAGAAAAATAATGTTAGCTTGTTTTATGCTACCAAAACACTATGAGTGTATAATCACCTCAAAATCACTCTTACGTGGCTCTGAGATTTTTATACAGCTGAGTAAGTGAACTTTGCTCTGGTACTATGTAAAGCCTGAAGACTAAGAAATATTAGCAATATGCAAATAAGAATTTAGAAGAAGGCAGTCCTTATTTTCCACCAGCTACCCTTCCAAATGGTGACGGTTTCCTACTCTAACCTGGAAGCGACACTCAGCATCTCAGACAGGTAGTCCTGAATCACTCTCTCCAAACCTGCTGTCTATCTGCTGCACACCTGCCAAAAAAGACTAGGAGACAATTATGATTTGGGCTTTAAAGGCTTTTCCTGGTAGCAGCTTCTCACTAATACCCACAATGAAATACAATAGAGTTGTAAATAAAAATGTCAAAAAGCCTGAAGATTTGCAGTGGAATCAGTCAACGCTGACACTGTTAAGCAGCAGTCTAGCAAATATCAGAACATTTCATTTTTATAACAAAAACGGAGCCGAACCCTTCAGTTCATCATCTTTCCTTAGATAATGATCTCTCAGAACACATTAGCATATAAGGTTAACAATGAGCACACCAATCCTGTGTAATTAGTACCTGCTTGAGGTTACAAACATAAGGGCAAGAGAGAAATGTAAGGCAGGGCCCAGCTTTGGCCCAGAGAAGTACGTTTACCAGACTTGTTAGCCTTTATCTTTGCACCAAGAATTTAAAATGTTTCCATAAACACAAGCATAGATAATATAGGTTGTACCAGGCCTTCTCATTTCCTTTTTTAAACATTGAGACTTAATTCACAATTCAATGATTTTTAGTGTATTCAGAGTTTACAACCACCACCACAATCAATTTTAGAACATTTTCATTACCCTAAAAGAAATCCCCTACCAACGAGCAGTCCATGCTGGATAGAATTCATGTGAACCTAATTCAAAGTAGCTCCATGTAATGTCTTCCTATTAACACCTACCTCCTAAAAAACAAAACAAAAACAAAAAACAGAACAAAAAAACCCTCTTATCAAAGAAAAAAAAGGAAATAAAGTAATCAGGAACTTAGCTCCATGGGTATCAATGCTGGTTGACAGGACTCATTACTTAAAGGTCAACTAAAAAAATTTTTAGAATAAAGGTAAGCATTTCCTTTCAATTTTCTCCTATAGGAAAACAATGGATCTTAGCAGAAGTTTAAATGAACCCCTGTGCCTTATGAATGAATTACTAAAAATCAGTGAAACTGAATTTTAAGTACTTCTTAAAAGTCTTCCTTTCGACTTGAACAGCAATGACCAAGTCAAAGAATACTGAAGCCCGGTTTCTTTCCCAATTGCCAGTTAACCATTAAATTCGTCCTTAATATTTATTGAAATAACTGATATAACACCCTCAGGAGGGCATGTTATCCATGCCAGAAGAGATGACCACAGAAAGCCATGGGATCCTGTGCTGCGCAGCTTGGAGCACAGACTAGGCCTCACCTACCTAGAATGTGTTAGATACAGACAGTGCGACCCGACTCCCGGATTCTTCTGCTCCTATTTCACTAGAACACGTTTACAGCACCCAAAGAGTACAGATGCATGTAACGTGAAAGCTAATGCTCCCCACCTCTCGGTAGCCGATGCTACAGTAATATAGTATTTTACATACTGCTTTCTTTTTTTCCACTTCGCATATCGTAGACATCCTTTGAGATTAATATATATAAATCTTCATCACTTTTTAAATCCAAGACGCAGCCCGGCCGGGCGTGGCTTAGCGGTTGAGTGTCAACCTGGGATGCAGGCGATCGGGGTTCGGTTCCCGGTCAGGGCACATGCCCGGGTTGCGGGCTTGATCAATGGCTCTCTCATCATTGATGTTTCTATCTCTCTCTCTCCCTCTCCTTTCCTCTCTCTGAAATCAATAAAGATATATTTAAAAATAAATAAATAAAAAAAATAAAAAATAAATAAATCCAAGACGCAGAAATACAGCAGCCCAGCTTGCAGCACGTGCAGGCGGCCTTGGCAGTTCCGCCGGCGCGCAGAGCCCTGTCTGCAGAGCCCTGCCCTGCCCGCGCGTCCTTGCGCGCTGGTGCTTTCTGGCCTCACCCAGGTTTCCAAAGAGCGCCTTCCCGGGTCAAAGGGTGTGTGCATTTTAAATGTTACGGACAGTTTGCAAAGAAGGTGTGGCACTTCAAACTTCCTCCAAGGATATCTAAGGAGGCCCGTTTCCAAGCTCCTTGCAGGACCAGATGGTAGCAACCTTCTGAAGTCCAGCCAGTGTGACGCGTGAGGAAAGGGGCCCCTGGCGGTGCTCCGTGTCCCGGGTGACTAACGAAGACGGACTGGCCTCCTCAGATGACACCTGCACACTTGCGCGTCCTCTATATTCTACGGTATTGTCTTCTTATCCTTTTGGGTAGTTAACCCTTTTGCATATGACTTGTAAATATTTATTGTTTTTAGTTTATGCTATCTTCTACAGCACAAAAACACTCCCTTTGTGCAAAGGCCTTTGCTATCTGTCAAGTGGTTCTATCAAACTCAAATGGCGGGTGCTTTGAATTCCGCAATGCCAGGTGACCTACCAAGATTCTATGCTCGGCACACAGGCATGGAAAAGCCTTCAACTAACTGAAAGAAATGAAGTTGTTCGAAGTCGATTAAAATGTATGGCAGGGGAAAAAGGCTCTCAATTAAATCTTTCTTAGCATGAATACCAAAAGTGTAAAAAAAAATCCAATAGTTCCAAGTTCATTTATTGCTCAAAGGCAATTTGACCTTCAAGAAAAACCCACGTAAGGGACATAAGTCACATCAGGGATATTTCTCTTCATGAGAAAGCAGCAAGTATTTTGAAGTTATCACTGGAAAAAGCATGCATTGGAACTGGCAGAGTGATTAACTGACTTCAGGCAACGTTTTACTGTGTCAAGACTTTGGCATGTCATTTGTTGGAAACCTTTTGTGAAAACTATCCACACCTACCAGATGTGAATTCTGAACAGAACCCTGTATACTCAACTGTTCCCTTTGACCCTCACTTACAGCTGGGATTCCTAACAACATCCCTCCTCTGAAATAAAAGCTGTGGCCAACTATGATAAACTTGTGCCTAAAAGACATTTTTAAGATACTCTGCATCCCAAAACACACCACAATGTGATCTTATAAATAACACCAAACCAACCACCAGGCAAACTAACTTTCCATTTCCTTTACATGGGTTTTTTTTAGAGGGTTGTTTTCAATAGAGCAAAAATTAGTAACACAGTTTCCACATTAAAAGAAAAAAAATCTGTGAAGTCCCTAGGGCACAGGAAATATAACTTCCAGGATGTAATATGTACCAAATAGTATCGGATGCTTTACATACATTATCATTTAAGCCGCCATCCCTTCACAGGTGGGCACACTAATTTTCATTAGTGTTACTCCAAAGCCCATGTTCCTTTCCTAACCCTTTGAAATTTCTTTTTAAAAAATATACAATTTTTTACATCCCTAAGTTACACTCCTAGGTTACCATATTTGACCTTGTAAAAGTATTTTTTAAAAGTATACATAACTGAGCCCAGGCAATCCTCAACCTGAGTGGGCAGTCCATCCCTGTTGTGTCAAACTGAGCTCCTGTCTTGCCCCATAGCACCACCTAGTGACACTTTGGGGAGATTGAGGGGCAGGCAGGAGATAGCCCAAGGATAGGCCTCATCCCATGCTTGCTCATGCAGTGCATGTGACAAAGAGCTAACTCAGGACAGAGTATGGCTGGTGGTAGATGGGGCAGGGTGATCCACAGCATTTAATTGTGGTGAAAAGAACAAGGGGATTGGAATCACATGGATTGAGATTTCAGGGTTTTTTGTTTTGTTTTTTAAATATGTCTTTACTGATTCCAGAGAGAGGAATGGAGGGGGGGAGAGGAAGAGAGAGGGGAGGAGAGATAGAAAAACATCAGTGATGAGAGAGTCATTGATCGGTTGCCTCCTGCACGTCCCACACTGGGGATCAAGCCTGCAACCCAGGCATGTGCCCCAAACTGGAATCAAACAGCAGATCTCCTGGATCATAGGTCAGTGCTCAACGGCTGAGCCATGCTGGCTGGGCAAGATTCCAGTTTTTAATGTGCCAACTTGGGCTCTTCTTTGAGTCAGTTTTCTCATCTGTCAAAAGCAGCTATGGCCTGGCCGGGCGTGGCTCAGCGGTTGAGCATCGACCCAGGATCTAGGCGATCAGGGTTCGATTCCCAATGAGGACACATGCGCGGGTTGCGGGCTCGATCCCCCGTCGGGGGCATGCAGGGGGCAGCCGATCAATGACTCTCTCATCATTGATGTTTCTATCTCTCTATCCCTCTCCTTTCCTCTCTATGAAATCAATAAAGATATATTTAAAAAAAAAAAAAAAAAAGCAGCTATGTAAAAATGGTGGGAGGCAGAATCTAGCATATCTACTTATCCAAGGGCCAAGGCATCTTCTTAGTGGAGCACTCACTACTGCTAATGGGGCTAAAGAAGGGTCAGGACATGAGAACCCTGTCAGTGGGGTATGTACCCCAATAATGAGGAGATCCAAGCAAAAGGGAGGCATATCAGGAAGGTGAGAATTTCCATACAGGAAGGAGCAGTTAGAGATCTTGCAAGGGTGGCTAGCAGAGGAGCCTAGGGCTCCCTCATGAAAGGGGCCGGAGGAGGAAGTTGCAGGCTTTAGGAGGCACGAGTAAGGCTTTGTTATAAGGAAGTAGGAGCCACGGAGGACTTGCTCAGCAAGGAACTGAGACAGGAAAGCACAGGGTCTTCTCTCCTCACTTTAGGGAAAGACTCTCTCTTTCTTTTGCCAAACATGGATACCTCTCTTAAGGAGATAAGAAAAATCTTACAAGACAAACCTGCATTTTCTAGAACCCTTTGCTTAAATGACATAAAAGCTTTTCCTTCTCTTATAATAACAAACTTTCTTCTATGCATGGAGTCATTTTTGGACTAAATGCAGATTATCAGTAAAACCAAGGCCGAAATCCCACCTGTCAGATAGTGTCTAGTTAGCATAGTAGTAAAATAACATGCATTTCAAATAATAGTCATTTAAAAATTAAACACATTCAAACAGCATTTGAAACTATATCATAATTGTCTTAATCAGATAGAAATTTCTAAAAGACACAATGAAACCATTTCCTTTTGTTGAAGATAAAAGTACAATTTTATATTTGATTATTTATATATTCCTCTTAAGCAAATGCAAAGTAAATACTTGGAAATATTTTCAGAATAAAAATGTAAATATAATACCTCCTACATCTATGAAGTGTTTTGCAGCCAAGCCGGAACGTGGAGCTAAAAAACAAAGAGGAGAAATTGGTTATTTTAAAGGGAAGGGCAATTACCAGATATAACTGACACAATTTAAGCATGTTATTACTCTTATTTCCCATCACTGATATCTTCACCTTAACTTTAGCAGGTGGTTTTGAATTAAAGAACATACTTATACTGTATGACAAAAGCAGAAAATAATAGTTTAGACAAGACTGACGAGGTTTAATTCAAAGCCAACTTAAGCCAGTCCCACACAAGTTCAGTCTATTGAGGACTAGGGTGTCGTAGCCATGGACTGCTGGAATGAACTGAGGTGAGCAAGTGGGGACAACCCCAGACAACTCTATGAAGAAGCCTGGCCACAAGGGGAGGACTGTAGCTGGCAAGAACATGGAACTGAGGAAAAGGACTTTTGCTTTAAGATGGGAGTTCTAAGCATGTTGCAATGTAGATGGGAAGGGGGGGGGGCATAAGCCTAACCAAAGAGTAGCAGAGCTTAGCCTGGAACTTGGGACTCCGATTCATGACACAGATGCCAAAAGTCATGTCTATATGTAATAAATAAACCAGAGTAAAAGGCTTATTATCAGTTAAGCAAAATGCCAAAAACTAAACCTTAGAAAACTCAAGTTGCTATGCTTTTTATTCCTATGCCTTTTATTCTTAAAATGAAAAATAAAAAGCTAATTTTATACCTTATTACTTGCTACCTTGACCATCAAGCCTACCATTAATTATCCTAACTTCCAGTATTTTATTCCAGAATCATTTAAATCAGGAAGCTTTGTCAATAAATGCTGCCCCCTCTGGCCTTTATTTTTATTTCACTTCATCTCCTGATCCCCCACCCCACCAACCTCCACCAAATACACTAAAAATGTGGTCAAAGCTGCCAAAAAAGAGATAAAGAGAGCTCATAATTTTCCTTTAAAGGCTGAAGTATTAGCAGTTCTCATGGCTAATAAGATAGCGGTAATCTTGCTATCACCTCCCACCCCAACCCTGGAGAGGAGAGGGTGGGTCACCAGAAAGTAATTATGCTCCTGCAAAGAAGTTTTAAACTTTCCAGTGACAACTGAATCACTCCAGGAAAGTCAAACCTGTGAGCTTGCACTCCATTTAGTCCTAGCTCCTCCCTCTGTGAGGTGTTTCCCTCACTAAAGAATATCCCTCACCCTAACACACCCCGAGGGGGAAACCCCAAAGGCGAAAAGGCTAAGTGGCCTGATATACTGTGCCACCAACAGGAGTTAGAAGTTTCTCTCTCATGTAAAATGCCATGGGCCATTATCCTAAGCTTGTCTCTATTTTCTTACATAAAAATATTAGCCATCCTCATCACCATCTCCACAAAAATCTTGACTTTATATGCAATCTGATTTCTGATGGGGGAGTTGGTGCTAACACTGGAAAAAGTGCCAGTTAAAAATCACCTATATTTTTAGTTGTTCTCACAGTGAGAACCTCTTGGGCCAATGTGAGCCTCTAAAAGCGCAAGTAAGGAATCGGAAAAATAGCAGAGATAGAGGCACACCTTGTTTTATTGCACCTCATTTATTGTGCTTTGAAGATACTATGTTTTTTACAAATTAAAGACCCTCGACCAGCAAAAAGATTACAAGTTGCTGAAGGCTTAGATGATAGTTAGCATTTTTTTAAAGCAAAAAAGTATTTTTAAATTAAGGTATGTATATTTTCTTAGACATAAAGCTGTTGCACACTTAACAGACTACAATATACTGTAAACATTAACTTTTATATGACCTGGAAAGCCAAAAGAAATCATGTGACTTGCTTTATTGTGATATTTGCTTCATTGTAGTGGTTTGAAATGGAAACCGCAATATCTCCAAAGTATAACAGTAAATGAAATTTTCAAATGGCTGCATTTGCCATCACAGGGGGCACTTTCTTATTTTAGGACACAGGCCAAGAAATACTCCTTCCCTCATTTATACCCCAGATAAAACGAAGATGAAGGGACGTATCACAAAGAGCATGACAAATCTTAAATCACTTACCCACTCTTCCATAGCACCCAGAAGGAAGGGCTATCTGAATGTCAGTTTTCACAAGGGTTTTCTCCATAGGTGGTACTGTGTAATCATAGGCACTAGGAAGGAATTAGAAGAAAATAACTGGTATTTAGATATAGTAATTCTCTGTGAATTTTTATGGTTTAAGAGGCGAAAATATATAAATGTATTCTCCTCTAAACAAAATTTGGTTGGGGAATTCAGGTAATTATTTAACAGGAGAGGCAGAAAAGACGGGACTTTTAGAAGGTGTATGCTTCACTAACATGGTATGAAGAGGAAGATAGAGAACCGAGAGAGGACTGTAAATAACAGTTAACATTTACTAAGCCCTTACTATCGCCCAGGCACAGTTCTGTTTTTCATAACTCATGTTATTCTCACAACAATCCTCTAAGGGATTATGATTATGAAAACCATGCAGAAGGAAAGGCGGAAATGGGTGGACCACATAGGGGGCAGAGCTGGGTTGCATCTGCTCTGCTGGGCTTGGTGGTTTCACAAGCATGCCCAACTGTGGCCAGGATCTTCACTGGCTAGAGGGGGAGAGCTGATCACTGTGACCAGCCCTGGAGGTGCACACTGCTGAGGAACTGATCTCTAAGGTCCACCCAGCAGATGCTGCTACTGTTATTACTGTAGCCACCTGCTTGATAGAAATTTAAAGATAAGCAGAACTGGAAGTTACTTTGAAGACTTTCATTAAGACTGGTAAAGCATTAGTGTATTTTTACTTCCTTCAACGAAATTTGCACTCTTCAGATAGTTAACCACTGATTTATTAAAGAGATGTTATTTCCATGTCTACTTCAGTATATGAGTTTCACTAAGACTGGTAAAGCATTAGTATATTTTTACTTCCTTCAACGAATCTGCACCCTTCAAATAGTTAACCACTAATTTATTAAAGAGATGTTATTTCCATGTCTATTTCAGTATATGAGGATGCTCAAAGTACCTTAAGTCAAAGTCTCTCCTTAGACTCAGAACAGTGCTCAGACATGGTATAGTTAGACTACATGTTGTCAAACTATTTTTATTCGTGAAAATTAAGGGATTAAACTATATCCCTTTCAGCTACAACAGTCTATACCTCACTTTTCTTTTCTCCCTTCCTATCATCACACACTCCTTTCTCCTGTACTTACTTACGACTTAAACCAGTAGTTCTCACATTAGAATTACCTGGAATGCTTTAAAATATATCCTAAGGCTCGGACACCCCTACTTCCAATATCACTTTTCACTTACCTTAATGGTCCTAAGCAGTGTGGGGGAGGGCGGGGGCGGGCAATAAATTCAGGGACAAAAATTCTATTACGTTCAAGCCTTTGGGCTATCAATTCAGCACCTTACAAATCTCCTCACCTGTAAAACGTTCCACTCACCTGTTCACAATGTTGTGAGGATTTAAAAAATATTATAGAAAAGTTTTTAGCATAGGTAAAAAAGAATACAAATGAAAACGTGGTAGTATTACTAACATCCCTGATTCATATTCAACCCCTTTATGAAATTTCCAGTCTTGGGGCAAACTTAAATATTAACTCTTTAAACAAAAGCAGCCTTCATGAACCCTGCTTAGGTATTTTCATACTAAGCACCTAGGCTCCACCCTGGCTTTTCTTTCTATTGGGCACAGCGTCACGCTCAGGCCTTGAAGGCCAAGATGGGCCTTAGACATCTCTGCTTGGGGAGGGTGCAATAAATGTTGCAAAACAACGCCTCAGAGGGCATTTGTGAATATTTACTTACTATTCTACACTCTTTCCCAAATCCCTGTTGAATTCATGCTGAAGAGGAAAGCTAAAATTTTCAACATAAAAAAGTCGGAAACCATATATATATGCAAAAAACGTTTGCCTCTGTAATCTTTTACTTTAAAATTTAAACCTATAGCAGCAGAGGGCTTGAATGCCCTTGCTAACGTAACAGAAAGCTCTGAAATTCGGGAACTGGCCGTCTCCGCGTGGGGCAGGGATGGCGGGGGCAGGAGGCGGCCC